GGTAGGGGGGGTCTCGAGCCGCCCTGTAGTATTAAAAAATAAATAAATTGTGATTAAAAAAAACGAAAAAACAAAAGCAAAATCTTCCACACTTCTTTTTGTTTGTGTGTGTGTGTGTGTGTGTATGTGAGAGAGAGAGAGAGAGAGAGAGAGAGGGTAAGTCTCCAACCTCGCGGCTGGCCTCGTGGTCAAACTCGGAGGGCGGCCGTGATCACGGCCGCCACGGCTCTGGCCGCTGTTGGGTGCGGCCGCGACTGTCAGGAATTGTTTTAGACTTCAAAAAATTCTCAAACAAAAAAAACAAAAAAAATGGTGTTGTAGATCTTTTTCAGATCTAAATTGCGCAATTTCTTATTTTATTTTTTGACTTCGTCTTTGAATTTTAAAAATTCAGAAACTAATTTTCCTAAGGCTAAAGCTTTTTTTTTTTTTTTTTTTTTTAAGAAATATGACCACAAGGTAAAACTTGTTCAGTATATTTTCCTGCATAACATATTTGTTTTCCATAATTATTTTATTTTATTCATTTATTTATTTATTTTCCATATTCATTTTTTTATTTATTTTATTTCCTGCCACCTCCCGAGGGGGATTCATAGCGTCGTGGTACTTCCATCGAATGGATGAGCAAAATCGAATGAATCTACCGCTAGAACATGGACACTGCCATGCTTGTTTGTTTGTTTGTTTGTTCGTGTGTGTGTGTGTGTGTGTGTGTGTGTGTGTGTGTGTGTGTGTGTGTGTGTGAGAGAGAGAGAGAGAGAGAGAGTTTTCCATCGATAGGATGAGCAACGCACCGGCCAACAAGTAAGGCTCCAACCCCGTGGCTGGCCTCACGCTACTTCAATCGATAGGATGAGCAAAATTGAATGAACCCTGCGGCGTGCTCGCGCGCGTGTTTGTGTGTGTGTGTGTGTGTGTGTGTGTGTGTGTGTGTGTGTGTGTGTGCGCGCGAGGGGGATGCAACCCCCACGGAACAAACCAATCAACCAACCAATCAGTCAATCGATTGATCAATTAATCAATCAATCAATCAATCAATCAATGATTGATCAACCAATCAATCAATCAATCAATTAATCAATCAACCAATTAATCATTCTTTTCTGTTTTTTTTTTTTTTTTACACCTAGAGTTCCCGATACAACAAAAAAAAAGTTTTTTTTCCTTTTTTTTGAATGGGGAGGGTACCCCTCGACACCCGACCCCCCCCAGCCCATCCACCCCCTCAACACCCCCCCGAAGGCCACGTGTAGAGGGGTCGAAGCTTCGTACGTACGGGCCGTACAGGCGTTGAGGGCCCTTGTGTACGGTCGCACGGGAGTACGAACAGGCTGTCCCCGTACTAGGTGACAACACTGGTCGTCGTTGAATCTTGCCATCTCGCCTCTGCCATCTCGCCTCTGCCATCTCGCCTCTGCCATCTCGCCTCTGTCATCTCGCATCCGTCGCCATCGTCGTCGACGAACCCTCACATTGTCGGTGCCTTCCTTTACCCATCGTAGGTGTTGCCATTGCCATCCCTGGCGAACGAGTGGACCTTTGCAGTGGGTGCCTGCTGGGTTGTAGTCCAATGATGACGTTTGCTGTGACGAGTCATTGTCGTTGTAGTCGCCTTCAATCGTCGTGATGGCGCTGGCCGTGTCAAGAAACACAGCAGCAACCCCACTGCCAATCCCGTCGTGGAGAGGAAAGGTCGCCACGTGTTAAGGGGGAAAAAGGCACGTGTTGACGACACTTTTGGCAGCGATGGAGCGGGAGTTAGGGACAAGTGGGTGGGACTCGGGCACGTCGAAAATCAAGATGACGTCTTCATGGATGAGGAGGAATTGCATGACAGTCGTCGTGCCATAGCACGAGGTGGCAGCGCGCTTCGATTCAACGAAGCACTGCCTCCTCAGCCTCAACAATGAAGTGCGACAACACAGCATCCTCGGGAGGACGCTGCGATTGACGCCGAGGTGGAGGGTGCTGCGGGAATGACCGAAGGAGTTCATGCTGCAACTTCTGAACGATTGGGAGGATCTATGGGCAGACAACGTGGGGCAGTTGTGGATGTCCATCAAACCGTCGCTGGGTCATCAACGCCGGCGACGCCGCGTCGTCAACCAATTTCAGAGAGGGAGTCATCCGTGGAGGTGGCCGTCGCAGGTGTGGTTCGCGGCGCAGTTGGGTCAGGCGTGGGTGAAGCGGCGGGCACGGGTGGCGGTGTGTCCGTGAGAGTGGCAAGTGTTGCGGTGCATGCCGTCAACAAACTTGATGCTGAAGGCGAGGAACCACTGGCGACAGGGTGCGGAGAGGGAATGTGCCAAATGTTTTGGCGGAGCAGGCAAGGTTGTGGGTTGACGAATTCATATTTTGGAGCGAAATGAAAGGCGAACGACTGTACAAGATCGTCAACGACACGTGCAACTGCCTCGTCTCCATTGCCAGGGGTGTGAATCCTCCGCAACTCCCGCGCCGTGTCGTCCTTCTGTATTCTAGTATCGCAAAGACCACAATAACGGACGAGTCTTAGTTGCGCGAAGCTAACCAAAGGGTGGCAAAGGTGCAAAGGGTTGTCTTGCGTGTCATCTATGGGTAGATCTTCAAGTAGAGCAACAGTCATGAGGATACACAGCCGTGTATGTGGTTCGCCGAAGAATGGAGTGTGTGTGTGAGCCCCGCTGTTTGCCACATCACACTTGAATTGGATATGCAGCTCCCTTTGTGGTTCGTCGACGCGCACATCGAAGACAGGCCTGAAGACGATGAACTCGCGACATATCAAGAGACGACATTGCAACGGCTTGTGGCAGCTGTCACAAGCGCGGTGGCTGTTGCCGAGCTTCAAGACGGCGGCCGCGTGTCACACGATAGGTTGAAGAATGTGGCCCAGGGTATGAAGGTTTTCGTGGCGGCCACCTTGCGGTTGATGCGCATTTGGGAGATGATCTCCACTCACACTATAAAGTGTCCTTTCTCGTTCAGCTTGCGCCGAAGCCGATCCTGCTGGCTGCAATGCATCGCGCCTTCGACGAGCATCGACACATCACACAAGCCGCGAACGTCATCATGGAGAGGCTCGACATCACTTTGCCGGCTTCCCCTCACTACATACCCGACTGGGTGTCGTGTGGTGTGAAATTTGGACACAACGCAAGCTTGCTATCGCCCGATGATGCCAAACGGCTGGATTGGTTGGGAGCGGACCCCCCGGAGGAGGAGGACGATGATGACGGCCAGCATTTGAAAGTAGGGGGGGGGTAGGTGGTCATCATTATGGCCATGCGTAGGGCACGAAAGGTGGCACAGTTGCGTTGCAATGGGGAAGACACTGATAGACTGTGTACTTTTTTTTGTTTGGTTTTTGGTCTTGCACGTTTTTTGTAGTCCTAAGTCGTACAAGACAACTGCTGCACCGACGATGTAGACGTAGGCTCTCTCTCTCTCTCTGTTTGCGATTTCTCATCGCATATGACATGGACGTGGTAGAGGGCAGGATGCGGCCCATGCAACAGAGCCTTGAATGGGGTCCGTGGGGAGTCGGGGTTGGTGTCCCTCTGTCGTAGTCCGCAGGGTTGGGAATTGGATTTATTTACGAAGGCTCCCGATATCATGTCATATTCGTATGGATGTCATCCTATTACCATTCATATTGAAAACCTGTCGGGTATACGTTCTTATTTATTTATAAATATCTTCTTTGTTGTACTTTATGTTTTTATGTTTGTCCTTCTGTTGTGTGTGAATCTTCAACGAGAAAGTTGTCATGGCATTGCTTTTTGCATACTTTCACACAAGGGCCGTCATGTATGTGAAGGGGGATTGGTTGTCGACCAAGTCATGCATAGAATATGGAGTCAGAGTTGGAGGCAACCAAAAGGTGCATGCATTTCCTGTATGACAACGGACACACACACACACACAGACACACAGACGTAACGACGGGACGTGAGGCAGGTGGCATGCTTTCTGGTGGACGGTGGAAATGGGCATTCCAGCGGCGTAGTGGCGTCATCATATGTCGTGCACAGTCTTCATTTGTCGCAGTGCGAAGGTCGATTACCGTCGCCTCCTCCTGCCGACGACCTTATGTTCTCAATCGGAGACAGGCGGGGAACGTCGTCGGCGACTCCGTGGTGAAGTTAACCTCGTCGTCAGCGTAGTCCTTAGGTTTTTGTGGGCGACTGTTGATTACCTTTGCAACACGCGTGGCGGTGGAGTTCGGTGGTGACAACGAACGTGCGAAGTTGACGACGATCGAGAAGACGACCGTGACGGTCATGCTCTTTCGTTGTCATCCGGAGAGGCATTGGGCAGAATGAGAGCACAGATCCGCGTGCATAGGAGGAAGATGGCTCATGGAGCCCCCGTCGATGGGCTGGATACTGTGGCCATCACTGAGGATGTACTCCAGGTTTGTTGCACCATGGGTTGCAGCGTTCTTCCACAAGCGACGTCGAGGTGGTGGATGAAAAGGAGGACGGGTGGTGCGTGGGAGGATCTCAAGCAATGCGACAACGCGATGGGGGAGTACTTCCGAGAGAAGCTGTGTATGTCGCCACGTGTCTTTCGGGAGATCGCTGAAGCATTGTCGCCTCATCTGCAGACGCGTGTGACGTTCTACAGGGAGCCACTGAAGCCTGATCACATCATCGCTTATGCGTTATACAGGTGGGCATTGGGGGAGACATATGAAAGTAGCACATGCAATTTCAGGATCGTGAGAGCTTCTGGGCTGTTGGCGATACGGGACGTAACGGCGACACTGTTGACGGTGTATCGGGAGAAGATATCATGGCCGACGGGGGTGCGCAAGTTGGTCACCCTACGGGCATTCGCTGACAAAGGATTCCCAAACTGCCATGGGTGCATCGATTGTACTCACATCTACATCGACAAGCCGGCAAGCGCCCCCAGCGAGGACTCCTACGTTCGTAAACAACGTTACTCAGTTGATCTGAATTTGCATGTGCTGGACGTTCACATGGGCTACCTAGGAAGTTGCCACAACGTCAAGGTCGTCCAACTGTCAAGTTTGTGGGCGCGTGTGAAGGCTGGCAATCTTTTCTCAGGGCCGTCGGTGATGCTCCGCTTCCAAGTGTAGACGAACGGGTACTTGCGGGGCGACAATGGCTATCCTCCGTCAGAATAAATAGTTGTTCCCTATGGAGGCATTGGTCAGCACCCTATGGAGGAGCGCTTCGACAACAAGTAGAAGGTGGCAAGAGGGGCTGTGGAAAGGGCTTTCGGAAGGCTGAAGGGGATGTGGCGGCTGTTCCTGTGGACGCACAAGACAAATTATGGAGATCTTGGCGCAGCAGCTCGTAGCCATTTGCATTCTCCACAACATCCTCATCGACGTAGGCATTCCATTTGACAAGAATCTGTTGGGAGGTCGACGTCAACGAAGTGCGGCGCCACGTGGACCTCGGGATTAAACGACCCCTGCGGCCAATGTGCACGGAGAGTTGCACAGGCGATGCGCTCATTCTGAGGGACGCATTGGCGGAGCGGATGAAGCTCGATTAGCGACATCCTTCCTTCGATTGATAGGGGGAGGGGGAGGGTGGAGGGGAAGGGTGGCATCGGTGCACGCAAGGCTGGGTTGGGAAGGGTGGAGTCTTGTGTCGTAGTCTTCATTGCTAGAAAATGACCTCCCTGGAGCTACGTGTGTCATTCGTGTGTATGAACGGTTCGTCGTGCTTCTTTCAACTAGGGTGTGTTTTAAATGTTTCTGCTTTGATGTTTTTATTGCCTCCGTTGGTGGCTTGGTCGGTCCGTTTTCTAATTATTCAAGTCAGCGTTAGGTTCTGTCCTTAAAGGAATGCGTTCTGCATTGCGGGAGCTTAGTCCTGATGCGGATGTGGATATTTTGGCTCTAGGTGTGTGGTTGTTTATGACCGCCGTTCTACAATGAACTCCTGTTGCAAGACGTGCCGCCGCTCTTGTGTTTAATCAACTTTAATGCTAAAACAGCGTAGTGTCTGAGAAAGATTTCGCCATTGTTTTCTGGGGCGCCCGGTTTTTATTTTTCAATGGACCAAGGGATGGAATCCAGGGGTGGCCAAATACAATATTATGAACTGGGCCGCGGGGGCCGAAAAGGAATCGTCCTCGGGAGGCCACCCCGAGGAACGACGGAAGGATTTTCCTTCAGAGTTTCGAAGGAATCGAATGTCCGGACGTTATCGCTGTCTACCATCTTCCCCGGAATAGAATGTCTGGTCGTTATCGCTGCATCTGGGCTTCCCCCGAATAGAACGCCCCGTGCGGCATCTACACTGAGAGCATAATCACACTAGGTCCGCTACCAGTTCGATCCCCGCCGCATCTATAGACTGAGAGGATACTCACACAGGTCCCCAGTACGTTTCAACTTTCGGCGGTCTGGGAAGGCCCTGTAGTGCAAAGTGGGGGAGGAAGCCAGTGGGCCTAAGGAAAAGGGCCAAATGGACCGCAAGATGTCCTGTTGGTGTATGCCGTGCACGAAACACATGCAAGGACGCTGAAGGCAATGATGTGGAAAAACGTTTCAGGGCATTTTCAGGCTACCGTCTTCACCCGGATAGAACCCGGTCATTATAGCTGCATCTGGAGACTGAAAGTTGCCCGAAATACAGCTAAAATGCCTGTGCGTTCTATTCGGCTGAAGATGGTAGCTTTTTCCAGAATGCATCTGGACGCAGTTATGGTTCACCCTGGGTGATCTGAAGGCAGTGATGTTCTGAGGGCTTTCCTGTTTTTTGTTTTTAGGACGATGAATATAGGATGTGTCTGATATGACTCCCAGTGAGAAACAGGGTGCAATCAAGTGCCTGCCAGCAAAGGAACGGTTCAGGGGGGTACTGCACTTATGACCCACCATGGATGATTCTGAAGGGGTTACTGCACTTATGACCGACCATGGATGTTACTGCACTTATGGCCCACCATGGATGATTCTGAAGGGGTTACTGC